CTTCCTGTAAACTTAAAGAACAGCACTAAAAACCTAACCTCTGTTGTATAAACTGCTAACCCCATCAATTCACCAGGCAATGGAGAAGAACAAAGGTAGACATGTTTGAAGTTTAGCCAGTGTGATAGCCATGGCTGACTCCATAGATACAAAGGGAAAAAGAGTGTAGATGGGACAGAAAGTGTATTGATTGCCGAATGACCATGTAAAATAAAGGGAAAAAAGTTTGAAGAAAGAAAATTAATAAAGCTGCTACATCTGAGGATTGGTAAACTGAATCATACAATATATTTGTTTCTGGGTTTAGACAAGTTTTAAAGTATATCTGTACTCAGACAACCTTTTACAAATATTGGTATAGTATGACCCCTTTTCTGTTGGTGATTATGGGGTCAATTCAATTCAGTAAAATATTGAATCTGAGGGGCTTTAATCTTAAATCTAAAGTTTTAATAAAGGTTTAGCAATGTTTACTATATAGTGCTGAATGTTATATAGTCTACACTGTATTTTAGATAGTGAATGAGACTTACCATCAGGATAATGGTGGGCCTGCTTACAGTTTTGGTTTTTTGGAATCATGCTTATATGATGTTCAATGTATCTGCATTTATATGGGAGCTCTCTTGTCTGGTCTCACAATAATGTTTTCTATACTTTATGTCTGGTTGTAACAACTGGATGTCTTTTTTCTTGTTAAAAACTTAGCAAATTTCCTTAACTAAAGAATGCATGTCAGCCGGAGAGGGAATGAGGGTTAGAAGATGGTGGACCTTCTTCATGTTTTTCCATTAACTCGTTAGGCGCCATGTCTGGGTCACATGAGAAGACTATTCCTGGGGAGGGTTCTTCTGGGCTACACTAGGCACCTGTAACAGGGTGACTGCCTCACACATGGGTATCTTTCTCTGTGCTTGGGACAAGGCTAAGGCCACCATGGGGGAATAATCAGCCATAAGGCAGACCTCCACTCTTAGAGAGGAATGTACACTGTGTACACTTGCACAATAACTGTCCTCCAGTTAACTCTCGGGACACAGTGTCAATGTACTGTACATCTTCACTGTAGAATTTACTACTTAAAATGGACACAATGAGCCCATGTCCACATCCAACTGTCCAGCATTCTTCACTACCTCTCTCAGTAGCAGAACAAGGCCCCACCATGCACCTACATACTTAAATCCATACATCTGTACAGGATGGAGACCTTAGCAGCACTTACCCTCTCCAGTTGCTATGGGAGACAGACCTCTGGCAGAAGGAGTGCTGACAACAACTCCCTCACTGGTAGACGACATTCCACCTGTAACAGGTACAGGGGCGGACTGACAATTCATGGGGCCCCCGGGCAATAGGGGATCATGGGGCCCCTGTGTCCTTGCCCAAACTCAAAAAAGCCTATGAAAAAGGTACCAGGGGCATCTCATGGGGCCCCCTACTGACCCCGGGCCCTCGGGCAGCGCCCGAGTTTCCAAATGGTCAGTCCGCCCCTGAACAGGTACACTCCAACAGCAGTCTGCTTGACTGACTGTTGGTATCTATTTTCCGTGGTAACCACCTGACTGAGTAGGATGACTCTTAGCGCTATCTCTTCAAACCCTAGTGTGTCTAGTAACCCAAGCTGTAGACCATGCATGAAATGTGTTGGCTATTTGCAGTATGCTTCTTTAATAACTTCAGACCAGGCGGAAGGCAAAGTTTAATGTTTTACTTAGAAAAGAGCAAAATACCACAGACTCCTCTATTGCACAAAAAAAACAGTCCTTTCCTACATTCCTAAAAAACAGTCCTTTCCTACATCCCTAAACAATAACTCAGGCTTGTGTGCTGCCCTGGCATACCTGCAAAGGTTAAGCCCATGTATCATAGAGCCCATGTGTAACAGAGTCCATCAGTGTAAGTCTCCAGTAGCTGGTATCTTTGGGGCGAACCCCAGGCTCCGGTGGCTTCTACATCACAAAAGATTCCAAGGTGTGTAATGCCCTCCAGTGTAGAGACTTGCAGAAGTTTCTGGAAGCCAGGAGACGAAGAAGGGCTGGTCTGCATACTTAGGGGAATCTAGACAATTTCCCCAGGCAGGAGTCCTGGCATGGTGGATAGGTCAGCCCTTAAATATGAGAGGGCCTGGTCTGCAAAGGAGTCAGGTGTAACGTGACGTGAGGAAGTGCTGCTGGTGTGCAGCCTGGGAGGGGGGCCCCAGAGGAGGGGAGTCTGCCTACAGGCTGGAAGCTGGGAAGAAGGACCTCCACTGTCCCGCAATCTACCGCGGAAAGACAGCCTGTCAGCAGGGGACCAAGCCAGCCCAGCGTAAGGCCTGAAAGCTGCTACCACCTTTAAAGCTACAGGAACAGGGCAGTGTGAGTAGTTCTATGCCCCCTTACCCAAAGAAGGGAGAGGGCGGTCAGGTGCAATGCCCAACTAGTTCTCCCTGGGCTACATTCTTTGTGTGTCTCAGAATCCCTTGCCCTGGGATATGCTCAAAACAGCCAGGTGCATTAGGGGATTTTCATCTGGGGTTTGAGGAGGTTCATTTAAGGGGACCAAGTGCTTCTTGCAAAGACTGTGCTAATTTGTCAGAAGAGAAAAAAACCACTCCTGAAAGAGTAGAAAACCTAGGATCTTGTCTTTCATGCTTTTTTCTGGATTTTGCCTTTTTTGTGCCTAAGAAGTTGTCCTCCAAGTTGTTTCGGTTCCATTGGACGTCCCATATACTCCTAGACCCCATACAAGTCGTTAACCCTTAACAACAACTAAAACAACAAACACCAAGCTCATGAACTGTTCGCTGACTGTGGATGCAAATGTGGAAAATGCGTGTTTCCTGGCTGTGCAGAGCTTAGCGGGACCCAAAAATCCAGCAGCCCTCAAGAGAATAGCGCTACAAATATAATGCCACTCTCACCCAGGCCAAGATTGATGGCAAAAGGCCCTCTGGACCACTGTCTTCTTTATATCTCCAGGATCAGTGGGTCCGACACAAAAAAGCCCCCGCCAAGAAGAAAACCCGGAAACTAAGGTTAACCCTAACCCTCCTGTATGGGGCACCTTCTACCTAGCTAATTTTCAACCTGCTTACATGCATAAAAAGAATATAGAATTTATTACTTTGCTGACACAGTGTACCACTGTCCACCCTACACCTAGTGATGGTATAACTATATGTTTTATTTATACTCTGTCTTATGTAATCAAAAGTACTTACCTGTTACTGAATATCCTATACTTAATAAAACATTTTCTTTACTGTTCTATTTTTAGAAAACCAAATAAAAACTTATTTAAAAAAATATAAATAAAAAGAATATCAAATTTGAGATAAATACTGCAAATTCTGTAAATACTATATGTGAATTAGAGATCACAAAAAAGTAGATAAATCATTAACATGAAATCACTAAAAGAAAAACATATTTGCTACTTATAGTAGAGGCAATGCACTGATTAGTAAGGTAAAATAATAAAATGTACGTGTGGTGTAAATGAGCCCTAAAAAATACCAATAAATGCAGTTATGTATTTGAATAAAAAATGTATTCTATTTCAAATTTAATTACTATAAATACTTGAATATGACTTAATGTCAGCCTCTTCTTTGTATAGCAGCTTTTAGACTGGAAGAGGGAAGGATAGTATTGGGGCTCAACAGTTCTTCTGCATGAACATGTGAGCATATAACGCTGTACATAAATGAAATTTATGTCCTTTTTTTGCCCACAAATAGAGCTTTCTTTTGGTGGTATATGATTACCTATGTGTTTTTTAATTGTTGCGTTATAAACAAAAAAAGACCAACAATTTTGAAAAAACACACTTTTTTGCTATAAAACATCCAATAAAAAAAAAAAAAATAACATTTTGTCATACATTTAGGCCAAAATGTATTCTGCTTCATGTCTTTGCTAAAATAAATTCCAACAGTGTAAATTAATTGGTTTACGTGAAAGTTATAGCATCCTAAATTGGCGGTATATATATATATACTGTAATTTTTATTTTAATTTTTTTATACTAGTAATGGCAGCGATCAGCAACTTATAGCGGGACTGTGGCAGGCATTCTGACACTGGGGGGGGGAACTGAATAACTACCACTAACATCCCCAGTGACACCAATACAGTGATCAGTGCTAATATAATGCACTGACCCTGTGCTAATACTGAGTCCTCATACACACTGGTCATTTTTACAGCGGCTCTTTTTGGCTTTTGACGATTTTTTCTACAGCCAGTAAACCCCCCAGCATGTTATCCTATGTGTCCATACACACATAGACTGGAATCAATGTTTTTTAGCAGTGGCATTTTTTGGCTGGAAAAAAACCCAGGACTAGTGGGTTTCTAGAGGAGTTTTGTAGCTGTAAAAATGCTCTAACGCTGAAAAACGCAGTACATCACAACAAACCAGCAATTTTGAACTTCTTTGACCAAATAAAAATTTTTTTGGGGGGGGTGAAAAATGCTAAAAACCACAAGCGTGAAAAAAACGAGGCAAAACGCTGCTAATCGCTAATACAAAAACACTAAATAATGCTAAAAACTCACTCCTTTAACGTGGCTTTACACAGCTAATGTTAACAGTGTTATTAAAATGCCCTGAGTATCATGCTTTTAGTATCAGTATCAGTCTATGTGCACAAATGACACTGGGCAGGAAGGGTTAACATCTAGGGCGATCAAAGGGTTAACTGTGTGCTGTTTTACTACAGAGACATGCTGCTTTGTATTTTTCTGCTACGCAGAGAAATACAAATCAGCATGTCCTTGCTAGCCGGAGAGAGACCTGTGTTGTTTACACACAGATCTCTCCACTGTCAGCTTTACACGACAATCACCGGGTGCCAGTGGGGAATCTCTGGCCGGGACCCGGTGATTGACATCCCAAGCCACCAATTTTGACCTAAAGGGACGCTTTTTGGACGCCATGGACGTTTCTCAGTTTCCAGGCAGAAAGAACAGGAAAAATGCAGGCAGGGCGCCGGACAAAGCACTCGGGACAAAATGTATGTGAAATGGTTTGATACAGTAATGGAATACTAGGTGATTTTAGTGAATTTAGTGAATGTCACTTTTTGTCATTTTCAAATTTCCCGCTGTTCCGTCCCCCGTACGTCCCGACACTCGCAGGGGACAGAACCCAGACATTACAGGGGACACTGCAGGGGGGACATCGCGGGGGGGAGCGCAGGACAAGGTAAGAGAAGAACAGATCCCGGAGCAGCACCGCATGGTAAGCCCGAGTGTAGCTCGGGGTTACCGCTTCTGGTGCTGAAACTTTACCCCGAGCTACACTCGGGAATACCGCCAGGGGGGTAAAAGAATACGTAAACCCAACTTTTTATATTGCTGATATGTGCCTGACGTACCATGTACTTGTATGATACAGTATCCTGTTCTCTTTGATTCCTTTGTGTGAAAACCCTGGTGTTCCTGCCAGTCCCTCTGCTTTCCTATCAAAAACTGACCACACTAAGCAGGAAAGCACATCATGGTCAGTTCTCTAACTGTGCTGACAACTCAGCCTGATCTTCACCAATGATCAGAGTTCTGCTGACTCGTCCCCTCTGCACAGTCATTCACCGGAAGATCAGTGTGCTGCTGTTTCTCCTATGCAGCTGAGAGTAGAGGGTATGCGATCGCTTATAAAAAGAGGCAAAAAGATATTTATAATATATTTTGTATCTATACACACATGTTTTTGCCTTTCATTACTATTTGTATTTCAATGTTTTTTTATTAATTTTTTAAACAGTATAAAACACAGGCAACAAAACACACCCACGCAAGGACTATCAAACGCACATATAAAAAATAAAAATAAAAAAATAGAAAAAATAGTTCTCTAACGCCAACTGGGCAAAAGGTACGCCCACACAGGGGCTATCAATGGCACATAAATTACAAGAACATTAATATAACTCTGACTGTAACAAACTAAAAGCAGCTATCCACTGCCACACCAAAAACAAACAGAAAAGAAAAGAAAGGAGTACAAAGAGAAAGGAAAAAAAATAAAATAAAAAAAATAATATAACAAAAGAGCAGGGGTCCAGCCTTTTATTTCTATTTGAAACTGAATGGGTTGTTTTACAAGGTGAGGGTTTACATTCACTTTAAAGTCTGGCATTCAGACAAACTGCTAATTTCAGCCTGAGGCTGTATTCTCACCCAATCAAGATCTCGTCCCTAGCCAGCACCGTTGAACCCACTTTCTCTGATACCAAGTTGGACTGGACCTCCCCCAGCCTGCGACTGTACAGTGAAAGGAGAAGCAGCATTGTAATGAGCTCCTCCCTCTGTCACTCTGCTCTCTCCTCCTATCAGCATGTTTCTCATCACCACATAAACTGATAGGCTCCTTGTGCTGCTTCTTCCTCCTATGCTCCAACTCTGCTATGCAGAGGCTGCCAGAGGCTGATACCAGGTTAATATCAGGTACTTACACTGCTAGCATGCAAAAAAATACATGTAATGATGTAATAATGATTTCCAAACTGCAGTCATTTGTGTTTTTTATATCCATTTGCAGTTCAGCTTTAAATAGTTTGTATTTTACTGTCTATAAATTACTGGGTGGCAAACACATTTATTAAAAAGATTTGTTCTGGGTATTGTTCCAATTTCAGCAATGAAAAAAAAAAAAACACCTAAACCTTTCAAGTGCCCTACCCATCGCTGATGACTGAATTATGCAAGACACAGACAAGGAAATTCCCTCCTGTTCAGAGTGTTCAGGAGTCCAGGAAGATTGGAAGGAATACACCCAAACAGCTGCTTTATGCTAATGGAATCTATTGTCATACCCATCCAAGGATTTACATTTTTTCCTATCCAGTTCCAAGATTTACACAGCTCTGTCACATACACAACCCTGCCTGGCATGGGAGGAGACCGGATTAACTGCTATGGTTAAAGCAAAACTCCGGACATATTTTAATTTTTTTTTTATTATTTAAATGCAGTGTTACCTCTCCTGGGGCATATCCCATATATTGTTGGATCACTGCTCTGTTTTTTTTTTTTTTTTTTTAAGTGTTACTAAACCCACAACAGTACAATCAGTCTGTATATGCAGTAAAGCATGCTTGTTATACTCACTATGGAACCTAAGGGGTTAATCCTCTGCATTGTGTAAAAAAGACTGTTTGATCCTGTCTTCTCTGTCCCTCCCCTTCTTCCAGTGTCCCCCTCTTATCTTCTGATAAGACATATCATGTGGAGACACTGCACATGCTCAGTTTGGTGTGTATTGCTAGAGTGTTTTTTTTTTTTTTTCTTGGGAGAGTGCATGTGATCAGCACAGGGCCAGTCAGCACTGTCCAGACAGAGGTCAGGGGTTCTGCATCCTTCTAAAGCAGAAAGAAAACTCCTCCCACACGCTTTAACCAATGCTCTGCTGGACACTGATAGAAGTCACAAGACTGCTCTAACTGCTGATGAGAAAAAGTCTTCAGCAGTTTCTAGTTACTAAAATAATTGCATTTACATGTTGTGTGTACTGTGGGAGACCAGATATAGTGAATGCAGGTTCTGAGGAGATCAGATATAGTGAATGCAGGGTCCGGGGAGACCAGATATAGTGAATGCAGGGTCCGGGGAGACCGGATACAGTAAATGCAGGGTCCAGGGAGAGTGGATATAGTGAATGCAGGGTCCTGGGAGACCAGATATAGTGAATGCAGGGTCCGGGGAGACCAGATATAGTGAATGCAGGGACCTGGGAGACCAGATATAGTGAATGCAGGATCCTGGGAGACCAGATATAGTGAATGCAGGGTCTGGGGAGACCAGATATAGTGAATGCAGGGTCCGGGGAGACCAGATATAGTGAATGCAGGGTCCGGGGAGACCAGATGTAGTGAATGCAGGGTCCAGGGAGACCAGATATAATGAATGCAGGGTCCGGGGAGACCAGATATAGTGAATGCAGGGTCCGGGGAGACCAGATATAGTGAATGCAGAGTCCGGGGAGACCAGATATAGTGAATGCAGGGTCCTGGGAGACCGAATATAGTGAATGCAGGGTCCGGGGAGACCAGATATAGTGAATGCAGGGTCTGGGGAGAGCGGATATAGTGAATGCAGGGTCCGGGGAGACCAGATATAGTGAATGCAGGGTCCGGGGAGACCAGATATAGTGAATGCAGGGTCTGGGGAGAGCGGATATAGTGAATGCAGGGTCTGGGGAGAGCAGATATAGTGAATGCAGGGTCCGGGGAGACCAGATATAGTGAATGCAGGGTCTGGGGAGAGCGGATATAGTGAATGCAGGGTCCGGGGAGACCAGATATAGTGAATGCAGGGTCCGGGGAGACCAGATATAGTGAATGCAGGGTCCGGGGAGACCAGATATAGTGAATGCAGGGTCTGGGGAGAGCGGATATAGTGAATGCAGGGTCCGGGGAGACCAGATATAGTGAATGCAGGGTCCGGGGAGACCAGATATAGTGAATGCAGGGTCTGGGGAGAGCGGATATAGTGAATGCAGGGTCTGGGGAGAGCAGATATAGTGAATGCAGGGTCCAGGGTTTAGTAACATTTTGATTATTATTATTATTGCCCTCTACTAGCTCTAGCTGTAATTCTGGGCTATGAGAGCTGTGGGTCTCATACATGGAAGGTATGGTATCTTTTGTATGCCCCCCTCCCCTTTTGGCCTTTCGCAGAATGTCATGTCATTATTTTTTCTTTTTCTATACAATGTCTTAGTAACAAGCGTTTACTTGGTCCTGGCAAGAAAATGGCAGGACACACCTAGACCTGTTGGGTTGCAGCAGGGTGGGAATTATATATTTAAATCCAGATGCAGGTTAACCTGGTTCTAACACAGACTGGAGGAGACACCGAGCAGGTGGAAGACGCATCAATAGCTGGATGATGGAGGGATATCTATTGCATGTGTTACGTTTGCTGATTCTTTTCTCATCTCTTCCCCTTGTATTTGCAGGTAGGAGAACTACATTACAATTTCATGTAGTTTCTTTGTTTTCCCCTTGCTCTAGCTGCACTGCGTAGAATGAAATGTAAAAACACTTTAAAAACAAGACCTTAATAATTTCTGGAGCTGTAGGAATGGTGGAGAAATTCATCTTCAAAGTTCACAACCAAAGCAATGAAATCACAAGGCTTGTCCTTTTTTTTTAAAGAAAACAGAAATTTGGCAGCCTGGCAGCTTTTTAATGTAAACAGAAGATGCTGCTAGAAACTGACATAGTCCTTTGGACATTCTAACCCTTCCATGCTCTATAAAAAGCTAAAAAGAAAAAAGTTTTGACTTTCACTATCCTATAAAAATACGTTAGAAGCCTAATTTTCATTACAAGTGGGATCCATGTTTACTTTTTGTACTTTTCTTTCTCTTGCACAGAAACCCATTCACATTTTTTCTTCACAACTGTCACTAATGATTCCACATATGATTACCCGCCCTACTACACGACCAGATCCCTGGATGACGTCATGCTGTTCTGGTATGACAGTGTCAATGGAGTTATAGAGCGCCGGGTGCCATGGTTTAGGAGTACCTCCGGCAACTTATTGGCTGCCACTTTTGGTGAATATAAATACCAGTTAATGCTACAAAGTAAATTTGAGCAATATAGAAATTATATGAATGATACTGAAGGTAAGTGAACATTTCGTCATTTAAAGTCTCATTTGTTGCATCTCTTTAATGTTAGGGCTTTAGACTATAAATTCCTTCTTTAGTTTGGATTTATGTGGTGCCTCCATTGGCCACTCACCCTATTGTATTTTCGTTGGATGATGCCATTGAACAGAATGTTGAATGTTTGTAATTTTGGCTGTGACTCTTTGCGCCCTCAAACTCATTTTTGTGTTTCATTTGCTTGAAGACTGGCTGATAAATACGATGGAAATGTGCATCTTGCTTCAATCCTTTAACCGTCATCAGCGTACATCATACGTCAGCAGCAGCAGCAGCAGGGGGTTATGGCTCATTCACAACATAACATGGTGTGGGAAAGGTGCGTTTCTTGCACTGCATAGGAATGCACTGCCCTAGTTCGACCCATTAACTGCACTAGGCAGCACAGTGGCTAAATGGGTTAGCACTTCCACCTGACAGTACTATGGTTGTTGGTTCAAATCCCAAAAATGACACCTCCTGCCTGGAGTTTGCATGTTCTCCCTGTGCCTGCATGGGTTTCCTCCCACACTCCAAAGACATGCTAGTAGGTGAATTGGCTCCTGTTTGCATTGGCCCTCATATGTGTATGTTTGAATGTGAGTTAGGGACCTTTGATTGCATGCTCCTTGAGGATTAAGGACTGATGTGGGTGTACAATACAG